TTTTTTTCTCTCACGTCGTTACATTATATTGTAACCTACGTTCGTCGTAATCATCAGCAATTATAAAAGGTTTTATCGTTTTATCGCTGTTAGCTAAATTTAAGTATGATATCCTCTTACGGGGGACAGTCGAGTGTTCAAAAGGGTTAGGCACATCGCTCGAGTCCGATTGTGAAAGACAATAAAATATTCGATTTTGTTTGTGAACATGTTGAATTCAAATAATGACATCGTAATCTCTAGGTAAATAAATATATAACAGGATATTAATAATTAACGTGGAGATAATTCGTCGTGAAGAAGCGAGTCGAAAGTGTAGAATGAAATTTTTTCGTCCAAGGGTTTGTTAAAAAAAATAATAAATATATTCAAAGTCTATATTCTTGGAAATTACGCTTCAGACGTAGAAAACTTTTATTCCACATTTTTGACCTACTTTTGCACGTGAATTTTCTCGAAAAGCGGAGCCTCGAGTGAAAAAATTTTATTCTACATTTTATTAAGGGTATCCACATGTTGTTTTCTTCGAATTTAATAGACACTGCCAACATTGACAATAATTTATCATAACATAACCTGTATTCCAATATATTATAAATATATTGACATTTAGTGTACTCATTGTTAAATTATATTAACTCTTATATAATAAAATAAAATTTTGTGCAGAATCAAAAAACGACACTATGTGTGGATACCCTTAATATTTTCTCTTCTATTTATTTTTTCAGGATACTATAAAACACCTTGTATATTTCATTTACTCAACGAATTATATTTAGGATATACACTTTGACACATTGAGATGATACAACGTGTATGAAATGAAACGTGAAAAAGAGAACGTTTCGTTGTAAGATAAACAACAGCGTTGACTCGAATACCAAACGCATTCGAGATCGTTGCAAATCGTGTTATTTTTTTCCAAAAATATAGGCAAGCAAACGATCGGAGATATTCCTCTTATCGGGAACAGTTGATAAGAATAATAGAAATTCCAGTGTGTTAAAAATTTCGTACATGCATGGAAGTAACTATCTTTTTCCTTTGAGAACGAATTTTCATAACGAGATAAACCGTACAATCAAAGTGCTCACTGTTAAGCGAAATGAGTTCATTGCAGCCTTCCACGAATTCGTAATAGATTTCCTGTGTATCTACTTTTAGAAAATTAGTGAAACAGTTAATGAAAGTGATAATCTGTCGACGATAAGATCGCCCTTCCGGTTGAAAGAACTTTGAGCGCAGAGGCAACCACGGCGAAGAGAGAGAGACTCGATATAAATAGAAGCATTGATTTTTCTGTACATATTTTCTGCCTTCTACGCGCCTTTTTTCCAATGCAGCTTTCTTCTTTGAGCGCGTTTCACGTTGAGGGCTAAAGAGTTTAGGCTTTTATACGAGCCTCGTTCAAATTACTCTCCCTTTTTAATTAAAAGACTGAAACTTGGTTAACTCCTTCAGCCAACTTTCTGTGTCAAAAATCGCGCTTCTCCTTTCCTCCTTTGGCTTCATTTTCCTTCAGAGAAGCGGATCCTATTCTCCAAAACGTTTCAGTTCCAAGAGATAAGGTGTAACACAGGTCTGATCTATAACTGAACAAATTTCGTCCATCATTGGTTATAAAGTTTATTGGTTATATCTCATTTGTTCAGAACGAACAAAGTGAACTAGTCTCTCGGGACTAAAAAGATCAGTGGTTTTTCTCAATAAACTTCCCCTCTCACGATTGAACGTAGTAACGTAGCGTTCCCCAAATTTCGTTCGACGGTTCTGACGTAGTGCAACGCACTATGCCTTTACGCTTCGTATCTTATCTGAAGAGGCAAAGGCTAAGACGAAGGACATTCCGAAGCTACGAAAATGTGTGGCCGCTTACGCAATCGAGTCTCTCCGCTTTGAAGAGATCTGGCTGCCGGCAGCACACGGTTGACGAACGAGAATCGAACGAAACGCTCGGTTCGGGAATATTTAGACGTTACGTGCTAAAAACGGCTAATCGGCCGTAAAAATAGCTACTCTCTTGTGTCAAACGGTGAAGAAATTCGGACATTCGATTATCTCGCGTCCGGGATCAACGAGGACGCGCTATGGACTTTCGACCATGGTCTTCTCATTCTAAACTCGTCATCTCGAAGCCTGTCGAAGCTTCGATCGGTAGCCTGTCCAAACATCATACTTCACAGCATGAGCAATTGTCCCTGGTTTCTGTGTACACTATCCTGTCACGGATATTGACAATATCGATTAACACCTTGTTCAAACGCAAGAGTAGAGTTCTTTTTTTTTTTTTCGAGAAAATTCCCTTCGATAATACTATTACTACTACTACTACTACTAGCCGACGTTTCATCCAGCCACAATTCTTTCAAGCGTTTCTTTCGATTCTCGCCGGTGAAAAGCTTCGTTGGTTTTTTTTTTTCAGCTTCAGACGAACGATCGCCACATGTCCGCGAGGAAGCACGTGTTCGCGCGCTCAGCCAAGCTACGAAGAAAGTTCACCGAAATGTCGATCGCTGTAAACAGTTTTCGACTGTGCGAAATTAGGATCGTGCTCGTTTTGGAATTTTCCACCAACGATTGTTATCGTCCTCGATAATCGAAGAGAATCGCTGGCAATTACGAGCGCGGTAAACGTTCACGCTTTCTTTGTTTCTGTCAAATAAGGCAGGGAAACTATTTTGTTGCTAATCGTATCTAATTATCTGTTTGCATGGTTCTTTAAATTCGAGAAGAAAAAAGAGCTGATCCGATCTGATCGGTGAATCATCTGAATCCGTTTCCGGATTTTAAACCGTGGCTGCTTCGCTATCAATCAGATAGTTGTGTATTACTTCGCCAGGAGGCGAAAGATGGAAACAACAGCGTGAGATTCGCAGTATCTCGATCGGTATCGTTTCGTCTGTCTCGCGAAATCAACTCCGCTCCCAGAAACTATTCCACTTGTTAATTATGCTTCGGAACTAAAGCGTGTTAAGTAAGAAGATAATTACGATACGCAACATGTGTTGCGTCACGAACATTGTACTTCTGTCGATCTTCGCTCCATCGTTCGTCTTGTTCGGATGAAATTCATTTGCATGAACGTTCCGATATATATTTCTATGGGAGAAACAAAACCTACGAAATGCTCCTTCTTCTGGGACAAACACGTGTACACGTGCGTGCGAAACGTTGACACTAACGTGATTGATTAGTTTGGAAGAGACAATGAAAATCATTCCCGTGAATAATGCGCCGGTTTAATTCTCTGTGGGTTCCCTCTCAAGTATCGTTGCTATGGGAAAACTTATTCATACAATACAATTATATCACGTATTTATGTATATTTATATGTTATTAATTGCACAGAATTGTCTGATTTAATTCAACACGACTCGCAAAGTACGAAAAATGGCAGCTGTATCGACCGAAGGTGATTCGCCAACAGATGAATGTTGGAAACGCATAAAGAATTCAAGATCAGTTGTAACAGATTCGATCGAATTTCGACGAGGCAAACCGATCTCGATCCCGACGAAAGACACGACCTCGGGAATATCGGCTGATCTGGTGATTTTGGAGCTGGACGTAGCTGACCTCGCAACCTCGTCTTTACCAGAACTCGAAGATAATCGTCGCCCCGCCGCTCCACTTCGCCCCCGGCTGGCCGGCGCGACGGAGCGGCCGATTGATGGACAGAGACCATGCGTGACAACACGCGCAACACAACAATAATTCACGCTCAATAATCGCGCTCGATTATTGCGCCTTATGTTCGATTACGTAATCGACCGCACCGAGTGGCACCGACTGCCCCTCTCGGCGAGGGGGGCGAACGCCGGGCCCCGGTCGAGAAATTTAGATTTAGATTCGGTAATTTGGAGACGGAAATTGGTGGACTAGCCCGGGCTAGCCCGTTTGCTAAATTAACGACAGATAGAGTTTAGACGACGAACAGGTTTCGGCGAATAGGTGCAAGGAGACGATCTCGAGCGCGTTGCCATCTGTCTGTCTTTGAATTGAGTTTAGGGGGTGGGTGAGAGGATAGGTAGATTGGTAATAGGGGCCGTTCGAGGTTTGCTGTAATTGTTTTTCGAACGATGCTCGTACTTCTTGGCTGACACGAAAGTCAATACGTATCGTGTAACAATCTTCTTCTAGCGAAGAAGGGTCGTTGCTCTTTCAGTCAAAATCTAGGGGCAAAGGGAGGAAATTTTCAGATGTCTAAAACTCGTCTCTTTCGAAGCGTGACACACAGATTAGACACAGTTATTGGAAACGTCTGTTGTCCGTGCATTTTCTTCTCGAATTCGGTTAATGGAGAATATGTGCAGTCTCGCGCCAGTTTGTTTGCCTGCTGCTTTGAACAAGAAGGTTGTTAAGAACGAGGTACAAAGACGAAGATCAAAGTTGACTTTTGTAACTTTGCCACGCGTTATTCTTCCCTCCCGTCTCTCTGTTGAATCGCCTGGACAGAGAGAATAGCCTGGCGATCGCTTATCGACGACATAGTAGCATTAACATAGTGACACGTGCTAACGCGTTACGTTATGAATTATAACTAGATTCACGAGTACACGCGCGCGCGCAC